ATGCTTAGCATGCAAGGCTCCGTCTGAACGCAAAACGGCTTCAGGCTTCTGAATATGGACTTGTCTCACGCTAGCCCAGACGTTGGGGGTTTCTTCTCTATTTAACCACCTATTAGTAAGGGCGGCAAAGACAATCCAGGCTTGAGCAGGCCAAAAACTTAATTCGTCACCACGCAACCATCAGGCCCAGGAGCTTTGCCACGCTGCTGCGCAGCTTGGATCTGGAGCTCTTGTGGTGTGATGTCATTCCAAGGCTGTTCCGGCTCTGCTGGCATGTGTTGTTGCCAGGCTTGGGTTGCTCTATCGAGGTCAGGCCCCTGCCGGTGCCAAATACCTTCCCAGAATTTACGAATGGCCTCAAGTGATTTTTGGTTGTTGGATGAAGGCCTGCCCTGCTCAAAAGTGTCTTCATAGACAGAAGTGACCGGCACATGATGTTCCCTGCGCACCCACTTGGCAGCCGCCTTGGGATCGGAACGAATGTGCTGACGCCATTTCTGGAGACGCGCAATTTTCTCTTGGCGGAGAAAGCTTTCAAGTTCACTGTGACACCAAGATTGAATATCCTCAATCCTATGGAACCCTTGATTACGAACCAATGGGTGGTGCCAGATGCGTTTCTTCAAGATGTTAGGAATCGGGGCGTCTTGCTCAACTAGCCGCATGGCTTCAAGAACACGACCAAGCAACCTTCGCAGCTTGAGTTCATGACACGACGCATTTTGCTTAAGCCTAAAGGTCTCAGGACGGATAGCAGTAACTTGCAGGTCGGTGCCTTTAGGCCTAGTTCCTCTCTGAGTTGGGGGCTCAACGCCACACAAAGTCATTGCACGATCATAGGCTTGCTCAGCGACTCTGCAGAACCACTGCCACTCTTGCTCAGTGGTAGATGACGGCGGAATTGAAACGTCCGCCCACGCAGCCTCACAGGCGGCCTTCCAAGCACCAGGCGAGATGTCTGAAGGCGGCAACAACCGTCTGGTCGGCACAGCTCGATATGTTCGGACACTCTGCTGATCAACTTTGACTTGGCAAGTCACAGCCTTGTGATCTGCGAAGAAAACAGGAACAAAATCGAGTTGCGAAATCATGTGGGGGTGGGAGGACCACAACCAATCAATGCACCTCCGCCCTTTCCACCTAGTAGGCTCATACTGGCCTTCCGAGTTACGGACTGCAAGTGAAGCCCCTGAGCCCTTCAGCCACGTCCATCGGTCCGAGGCATCAGGGGGCTTGTTGAAGTCTCCAGCCACTAACACCGGTTCAAGTTCACTTGTTGAGCGGACCCACTCATCAATGGTCGGCAGCAGTTGACAATCATCGGCCGGGTTGGGCGCCATGTATACCCCGATCAGGCAAAGGTGAGCTAACTGCACCATAATGGCCTGCCCATCGACAGAGGAAAAACGAAAAACCTCATGACACGATTTGTCCATTCTAACAAGGACAGCGACCCCACCTATGACATAATTGCTGCGAATACCCTGCAGACTGGGAGACGACACCATCCAGCTGCGGTAGCCATGACGAGACAAATACCGAGCCAGGTCAGCTTGCTTGTCCGGACGAAGCCAGTGCTCTTGCAAAATGACCACAGGTGGACGAGTGTCAACCACCCACCTAGCGCATGCCCAAGCATTGCTCGTGCCCCCTACATTACATGTGATAACTTGCAAGTTTTGGCAAGATGTACTACACGGGCCCGGGTTGGGCTCTACATCACCATCTGCACACAAATCGCGGATCCACTGGTGCTTTGACAGCGGGGGAACATCTTTGTTGGCCTGGAGACGCTTTTCCAAGAGGTCAAGCTCAGATTTGGTGAGGCGCCATTTGTCAATGAAGAATTTGACGGCACTGAAATCCTTCTGCCGACGACACCGAATCCAAGTTCGCTTCCTGGAAGGACTTGCCAAGACTTTATTTCGACCCTTTGACCCTGGGCAGGCATGCAATTGAAGGCCTGTCTTCCCTTTGAATTTCTGAAACACAATGGTACAAACTCCACAGCAAAACCTTCCCGAAGAACCACTGGAAAACTTGGCCGGGATGCGAAAGGCCCGATTTTGCGAATCAGAGTTGTATGCCTCCAAAGCCCTATCCGTAGATTGCGTGGCTTTGGCGGCATTGTCTTTGACCAGTTGAGCATGGTGGCTTTTCCAAATCGGGCTCTTGTAATGCAATCTGACAAGTTTCTTCTTTGTCAGCTTATAGCACTGCATGACATGAGCGTCGCGGCTTATCTTGAGCGCTCTTTTTCCCATGTAAGCCAAACCCTTTCCGCATTTCGGACATGACCAAGCTCTTTGTGCATCTGGAATCTGTTTTGAAGCGACAGCGATTTGCGGAGTCTGGCGCCTATTAAAACACGTAGCCACCTTGTCTCGGTGGGCACTGTGCTCTTTGGCAATGTGTCTCCTCCGTGCATCCATCAAAGTTCTTTTGTTGGCATACCGAAACACTTGCTGACACAAATTACACTCCCAAACAAATTTCTCTTGCAAACCTGCCGGAGCAGGAGGAGCACGACTCGAGGAAGCGGACGATCTAGCTGTCTTCAAGGATGGTACCTTAGCACGCCTGGACACGGCACAAACACTTGCGTTATGAGAGCCAGAGGCTCGAGCAAGTTTCCCGTTGTCTGAACTCCGGGTACATGGAGTGGTGGCGGGTCGCCAACCACTAGCTTCACTTAAACTAGGACAATGCTTGCGTCGTTTGGTAGCTTGCTGGTTGACACAATCCGGTTGGCGTTTATTGGAAACGGAAGGTGTCGCGGCAGGGCGCCAGCTCTGCACACTGGCCCGCGACGGAGTGGCAGCAGGGCGCCAATCGGCCGAGCACGTCGATTTCCCTCCTCCTCGGAAGGCAGGGCTGGCAACAGATGCTTGACAGGCATTGACCCACTCCTTCGGCCATTGACGTCCAGACTTGAGCTGAGCCAAGGTGTAGTGACCCTCTAAGGAATCAAGCAACAAAACAATGGGAGAGCGGGTCTTTGCTTCGCCAAAAGCCATGGGTTTGTCTTTTTCTTCGCCACGGAGAGGTATCACGATGATCTGTATTCCGTATCGGCGCGAAGCTGCTTGGAGGCTGAGGCCGTCGATCCACCTATGTTCTCTGAGCGTGGACTCCAGGTAGTCCTGCCAGGAGGTGGGTGTGGGCCCTGCATCGATGGTTTCATTCTTCTCCGTAGGGGGAACAAACCAAGATGCATATTCAGTACCATGTTTTGCCATGTGTTTGTACAAGTCGTTGCGGACTGTACGTCCACGAGTCTCAAGCACATCTCTGATGTCATCAAAGGTCTGGCCTTTTTCCAAAGCAAGCCCTGCGGCAAGGCAGTTGTAACCACAATTGCCATTCCCTCCGCACTCTAAGGAAAAAAGTTTGTCTGAGAATGGGGCCGCAGGCCCCTCAGCAGGGAGCGTGTCTTTCTTCCCTAAGCGATTCGGCGATCGGCTACGGTCCCGGCCGTTGTCACTTTGTGCTTTTTGGCCTGGTGAGCTGGCGCTGGCTTTGATTTCAAGCTTAGCAGTCTTATATTGCGGTTTAATCACAGACAAAACCTCAGCAGACCTACGAATCTTGTTTTGAACCCGGTTAAGGAACGCATCGACACAGCCTCGAATCTTCTGCACGCCTCTCAGCTGATCCGCAACAGCACTGCAGTCTCCACCTGCAGCTGGATTCCCCCAAGTGAGCACCGATCCATCAGAGATAATTGCGGCAAAGGCAAAGGAAGAAGCTTGAAGCTGTTGCACAAAGCTGTCCCCATTTCTCAGGTCTTTCACAGAGCTGCAGTCACCACCATATTCTGGATTGCCCCAGGCAACCACCCCTCCACAGCAACACAACGCAAAGGCTTTACCGGTAGCGATGATCTGTGGAAGCTGCACCACTGCAGACAGCGTGTCGCCGTCCCAAAGCCCGGCATCCGCCAGGGAGTCGGTTGCGCGGAGCCTCGTGCCGTCCGTGCGCATCAGCTCCAAAGCGCACACCCCGAAGGACTTCTTCGCCTGAGATGGGATCGGCCGACGAGACGAGTGAACTCGAATGGGATGTTCATCCGAAGAAGCGAAACGCCATGTACCAGGAGTCGACAGGTCGGGGGCCCTGTTTAGTCCCTATAGTGAGTGGGATAGTGGGCACCCCGACTTGTGACTCGTGGCATGTAGTTGTTTTTTCTTCAGGCTGGTCAGCGAACGATCAAAAAGAGTGGAACATCGATCACATATTTCAAATTTATCTTCTTTTGAGAGACCCCACACAAATGTTTGTTTTTCTTGCAATCAAGGTCACCCGAATCTTCAACTCCATCACCCGCGAGTGAGCATTGGTTGATACAGTGACAGAGCGACCACTGGGCAGGGACACGTGGACTCTGCAAGGTCGATCCTCACCGGGTGGACCCATCTGCACGCCCAGTTTGGTCGATCAGCACTCTACCCGGCCTGTCGATCGACAGATGTTGGCTTTTTGGGTTTGGAGACGTCTCTACCAGGCCTGTCCTGATGGGAACAGTGGCTTCTCTTAAAACAAACGAAACAGTCAATCCTTGGCAAGGTGTTCAGGAACTTTCCTGCACTATATATATAATACTAGTCCTCCTGTTCCGATGCTCCTAGACCTGGGAAGTCAGAAACATCCAAGGAACATTGGAAATGACATGACATTACCCTATGACTCTAGTGGCTCTAGTGGCTAGTGAGGGTCTAATGACATGACCCTATGACTCTAGTGGCCTATGAATCAAAAAAGAAACGTACTTGGAGGGTCTAGTGACGCATCAGATTGCTATGACGCATCAGATCAATCCCCGCATGCAACTAGGCGACCAGTGGGCCACTACCCAATCCCTGCAGTGAAGGGGATGGACCGTTGAAGCACAACAAAAACGTACTTGTACCACCTTTTAGGGGTTACGAACTAAGTATACCGTATACCTGGACAATCCCGGGTGGTGTCCGTGTCTGTGTCCGTAGGTTAGAAATCTCAGAGTCCAACTCCCGAAACAATACTTTGAGTTGTTCATCAGCAAGGCAGGTTCGATAGATCTCATTTCTGCCCTTTTGCCAAAACATCGTTTTCCAGGAGATTCAACTCCAACCTTCGGCGCTCCAACTGTTGACTCAAAGAGCCGTTACACATCATCGTTTTGTGAAGCCACACCTCTGTTTGCTGTTCCGTCTTTCGACCCCGATGGGCTTCAGAAGCTTGCTTGAGGAAAAATAGCTGCAGTCGACGGCTTCCCTCGTCCGAACCCGTGGGTTGCCTTGCAACCAACATTTACCCCGACAAAGATCCTCACTGGCTCGGATTTCGGCCGAGGCCTTGTCCTTTTCGGCCGAAAAAAAAAAAAAAAAAAAACTCCCAGAAAGGACGGTGATTCATCAAGAAACGGGCTCACTCAGGTTCGAACGCGTACACCAAACCATGTTCATGTACGATGTAATGGATGTTGATATGGTGATAAACTGTGATGTTCAAGAAGAAAAACAACTGGTTGTAGCTCATTTCAGCTTGTTTGCGGCGACCAAAAAAAAGGGGACATTGAGGCTGACGTTTTTCTGGTGAAAATATCAAATTACAGTAATTCAAAATCACTGTACCTGGAGTCTCCAAGTACCTCAGAAGATGGGTATTGACAAAATGATACATCCCCAGTAAAATTCACACGACAACCCTGGGGGGAGCTGTTTGTATCTACAGGTCCAAACCAACCAATCCATCTATAAAATCATGGCCCCCAAGATAGAAACCTTAAGTCTATAATATTGGGTTGGGGGTTGGCCTGAGTGGGCTCACATACATTTATCAGAAAAGTGCGCTCTCTATAAGATCAACCCCTCCAAAAAATGCTTAAACAACCATCTCTATAAAATGTGTCCTAACCTTTTTCAAAACTATAGTGGGTGGGTGCACATGCTCGAGTCAACGGAAAGATATAAACACAAATGTCGTTTCTATAAAATGGACCCTGCCTTTCAAATCATGTTTTTGCCAACATGCTCAATTACCCTGATGACTCTACAAATCAGGAACACCCAGGACAGTGATTTTATAGACAACCAACATTTTCTATACAAAATGGTCGTTTCCAAAACAGGGGTTGACCCAATTTGTTGAGGAAACTTCACAGGGGATGATGATACAAATACTGGCTATTTCTTCGCGTCAAGTCCCCTTTTCGGTACAAACTGGAGGATCCAAGAAGAACTCGCCTCGCCAGTCGCTCTTCCTCGTCTCCGTCTCCAATGCTCGTTTGCTTTTGGCCTCACATTCTTCAGCACGCTGGGCCACGGAGTGCAACTTGGCTTCGAAGTCCTGGACCAGGTCCAGTGGAGCCGAGTACCGTCAGAAGACCCGTGGCGGTTCCAGCGGGGTCATCTCAGTACGTATGCCGATGTATCCCGTAGACCTTGGGTCTAACCATGTCTATCCCATTACCACGTCACAGTGGATGATGGTTATAGTCTTTTCATGTCTTTTCTCTAAAATAGAGATAATTTGTTAATTCTTTATAATAGGAAGGCTTGACCATGAGAAGTGACACTTTTCCCATTGGTAACTGACACTCTGGGCCCCTCAGCCTTTTGATAGCTCAAAGTATGTCATCCAGCACATACTCTTACTCGTACTCTTCTTCTTGGGATATGGGGTCAGATGGAGAGTCGAGCTATTCCAGTGAGAGCTCTGATTCTATCAATGGGCTGGAAAACTATTTTGAAGCCAAGAAGTCTCTGCTCCAAAGCTGCATCAAGCGCAGTCTCAGCTCTTTGTTTTCTGCTCTTTGGTCAGTTATCCAGTCACTTCGCTTTGAGGAAGGACTTGTATCCTGGCCCTCAGCTCCTGAAGGAGCATCGCCGTCATGTGGAAGGTTGGGGTATGGACATGATTCGTCGGGCTGGTAGCTTGACCTGTTTAAGCTCTGAGGTGTCCATGCTCTAATTGTTCTGGGGAGGTTTTTCAAGCAATAACACCTGGACCTGTTCTTTGAAATGTAAAACAACAAGTGGCTGTTTGCTTATGCTTTGATGGGTGTGTGTGGTTGCGGGAAAGTCTTTTGCTTGTTGCCAAACCAGGTATTCAGCAAATGGTGCAATGCCTTCCGACAACCTGGACCTTGATGTCTGATTGTATCTTGTTTGAAGCCTTCAAAAAAAGATGTCAAGATAGCAACCTGTTTTTAGCAGCCGACAACCTGTTCCCAAGTCCTAGGTTCAGGTGCTGGAAGCTGCCTTTGGGCTTTGGAAGAACTACTTGGACGCGACAAGGTGCAATTCCCAAGAGCTGGTAGGGGTCTACTACTGTGCAGTCCATGTGTGCAGGTGGTGCTGACAGCAGCAACTGACCGGGCTTTGGCCCCTCTCAAGTTCATCTTGCGGAATTGCATGCCAAGAAAGCTACTTACCTATACAACGCCTAACGTGGACAAATTCAACTTGGATCCCATTGATGTGTCCCTGAGGCTTTTCACTGATATGGCCCAGCGAGACCTCACAGGCCTCTCAGATAGCATACTGTATGGAGCAGGATTTCCTTGTACCCCGTTTTTTGGCTGCATGCATGCATGCCCTTACATTCAAGCCCAACCTGGAGACACAAACTGTAGGAATTCAGAAGTGTGCTTGGGGGTGTAGTCTGAGGTTTTCAAGGTTGAGACGATCATCTGCGTACTTTGAGGAGGACGATGCCCAGTGCTTTTGGGATTGCCTAACTGCTATAGAAAGGCCAGGGCCAATCCTTTTCCTGTGACAAGGCTTTCCTTTGTTCAGTTCCAGTCATGTCTCATAGTCAAACTGGTTGTGCAGTCTCTTGCCACTGATCGCCGTCTTGGAGAATGTCTATGGCCTTCTGTCCCACATGGACAGGGTGCGCCTGTGAGAGAGAAACAAAAACAGTAACAGTCCCTTTGATGTCCTCTTTGATGCCAAGGTGAAGGCAGAAGCAGCTCCTCTTCGCAAGCACTATTGGATGTGTCACATCAAGGTCAATGCGGCTGACTCAGGAGACCCAGTGAGTCGAAGAAGGGTCTATATCCTGTTGGTGAGAAGGCTGGTTTGGAACCTTGACAACACAGTAAAAGAGCATGGTGTTGGTTCTAAACTTCTAAGCAGAAACACTGCTCAAACGATGTTTGTGGTGCAGGGATGTTGCCAAGAGCTTCAAGACCGTCCAGCAGTTCTCAACTTTTTGTGATGTCACCTACAAGAAGCTCAAAGTCTGCTCGCATGGAAAGACTTTGTGCTTCTCTTAGTGTGGGTCTCTCCCACTTGGCTTTGACAATCTCTGAAACTGCATGAGAATAATGTCTAGCAAACACACGCTTTCGAGGAGAGATCTCCTGCTTCCGCGCAATTGCCCTTACCTGCAGCATGCGTGTGAAGAAGCAAGAACATCTGCCAACAATAGACCTGGTAATCCAAACAAGTACGATCTTACCAGGGAGCTGCTTAGCTGTACTTTCTACCATGCCCTTCACCTGGATGGATTCTTTTTGTTTCCACTGGAGGCCAGTGCAATCTCAACCTCGTTGGCTGAAGTTGCATTGGGACAAGATGATGGAGCTGGAGGCTGGGCTTACAATGATACCTTTCTTTTCTCTCACTCCCATGAGCTGCAAAGCCTTTTGATTAATTTCTGCTAGGTAGATCCCAATGCCTTGGCTACACATCGCCAAGCCCGAAGATACTTCACCACCCAGCGTGCCTTACACGTAGACCAGCAGCACTTTCAGCTTGTTGTCCATCACCTTGCGGCGCCTGCATGATCTGAGGCCGTGGATGTGTACACCACAGCAGGATGGACTGGAGCAGTGGACCTGACCCAACAAATTGGGAGAATGAAGCTGGCAAATCCAAACATGCTGGCATGTGTGACGCCCAAAGGCACCCCCTTCCTGCTCAAAGAAGGGCGCTTGGTGACAGGTAGGCCCCTCAGTACACTTGATCTCTTTACAAAGTATTAACATTCCCTAGTCTCTGTGTCCCACAAGGTATGGAAAAAATGCTGCTTCAAGCCTTCCCCATACACCGTCTACGGTTGGGGCACCTCAGTGATAAGGAGCAAAGGGGGTTCTCAAAGGTTGTCTTGATTTTGGATGGGTAGGGTAGGCCATATGAACAACAAGTGATCCCATTTTCCAGGAACTATCTGCCCTGGCAGGAAATGCTTTCACCTCAGACATGTTACCCATAAGTTCTACTTGCGCATTAAAATGTTTTGGTCCACCCGGCCCAGGCTATGCATTGCAAGTCCGTTGCCGCAGCGTATGCTGTAGCTCTTGCAGCGTGTAATGTCCAGGCCTTCCACAAGGAGGCAATGGCCAAACTTAGCAATAGGCCTCGGTAAGCTGGCAGAGGCAAAGGTGAGAAAACATGGAAAGATGGAAAGGTTTTCAACTGAGAGTGCAAAAGATAGTGCATCTTGGCAACCACAGCTTTGACACATGTTTCTTTGACTTCTTGCAAGAGCCATGAAACGGTTCAACGTGCCTGAAAGTCAGGGTAGTTACTCTGAGTCAAGTGACTCGGAAAGCTTTGATGGTTCCCAAGCTTCAGGCTCAGGCTCCTCAGGGGTTGAGGAGGCTGCTGGGCCCAAGCCTTGTCACGTTGGAGCTGGACTGCTTGTGAACAACTTAGCCATGTTACATGATGGTGAAAAAGAAGACACTAGCTGCTATGCCAAAAATGGGAAGGATCCCAAGCGAGTGAAGACAGCAATGACCACTGGATGCTGCGCCCGGAATTGCAAAAAGAACCTATCTTTCAGAACGGTACTCAGGGTAGTGGTCCAATTCTGGGCTTTAAGCAAGAGCGCCCAGGATGTCCTTTTGTGGTCCATCCAACAGCGCTCTGCTTTAGATTCCCTGGGTTCACTCAGTGATGCAAAGTCAGATGCAGACCTGGACGACCTGGACGACAGCGCTTCCAGCGATAGTGGGAGCTCAGTCTCATGCTCAAGCCGTCGTGTGAGATGTTCATGGTCCATAGAAGGCTAGGGTGCACAAAACACACTTGGTCTTTCATGTGCTGGAAACCCAATAGCCTGTTCATTTCTGGTCAGGACATCAAGTTTGTAGACAAGGCTTCTTACAAATTCTTGGAATCGGTGCTTGGAGGCTAGTCAGGACACGTGGGAGTTACAAAGGACAAGACCAACGTTCTTTTGGTTTCTTGCCAGCTATCTTGTCTTACTTGTTGCCAATATGGCACCCTGGAGTGTTGTCACTCTGTCCACTGAGGCTCTGTGGGTGGGCGGCCATCAGAGGCTGCAGCGAGCGTGACAGCTTTTTTGCAGAAGATCTACTGGAGTTTAGGTGAGACATTTCCTCATGAGACACTCGCTTAGCCAAGTTGGTTTGGTGAATGGTGACATGTTTCTTCTGTCATCTGCTTACCAAGACTATAGTATATAAGGAACTGCGTTTTTTCTCAGGATGAAAGTCAAGGGGATCGAGAAACTGGACACTGAAGCTGCTAGGCAACAGCTTTTCGAAGCTTTGCAGAACAGCGCGTTGGAGAGTGATTTGGCTGGGGTAATGAACCAAGGGCCAAACGACAACTTAGTGAGGCGTTGGCTTCCTCATGGAAGTTTCTTTGACCTGTATCTCATCTATTGTGCCAACCAAGTTTCTGCCAGTGAGCCTGTCGCTTCGTCTTCCACTTTCTACCGGGCGTTGGAAAATTCAGGTTGGAGGAAATTGCTTCGATTCCTACCGCCTTCGAGTCACTCCAAGTGTACCATTTGCAGTAGACTCAAGTCCAAGATCAAACATGCTACAGACATTGAAAAACACTTACAAGCTTGCGATCAATTGATGCGCCATTTAGCAGGCCAATTCCAAGACCGTGCTTGCTACTATGAGTTCAGGCATCGGGCCAAGACCACAGGAGACATTCTATGTCTCATCGTGGATTCAATGGATCGTGGCAAGTTTGCCCTCCCGCGCTATGTGGGAGGGCGAGTACCCAAGGATATTGCTGATGTCAAGCGACCATCAGCAGAAGTGACAACTGTGCTGGCTCATGGCCATGGGGTTTTCACATACCTAGCGGACGAAAACCAGACGGCAGGCTCCAACTGGACCTTGGAATGCCTCAACAGAACATTGGAACACATCTTTGTTCGAGCACAAAAGTTGGGCAAGGCCGTGCCTCCAATTCTCAAATTGTTCTCCGACAACACACCAAAAGCTACTTGGAGTATCTTAATGATGGTTCTTCAATGTTTCACTCCTTCACAGCCACCTTCACTCAAATCCAGGAAGTGAAAAATGGCCAGTTTGGGGCTTGGGCCAGCTCTGTCGTGGGGTGTGGCTACTG